CGGTAAGGGCGCAAGGGAATCGAACGCCCAATTCAAAATTTTGGAGCGGCGCCCAACTGAATACCCTCAGAGGCAGGCAGGCGAAACCGGCGAAGGACGGGCCGAAGGGTCAAGGACACGAGGTTGGCCGCGCGCGAAAGGGGTAGGGGGAAGCTTCTTAGAAGGAGGCTGCTTCTTAAAAGGCGCCAGCCTTGTATCTATAGAGAAGGCCCGCGACTTCTACTAAGAAGCAAAGAACCATCTAAGAAACCTCTCCCCCTCCACTCTATCCCCCTCTGGGCGTGGCCGGCAAGGAAGGGCACCCTTGGGAAGTCGTGTCATTACCGTGCGCGTTGCCTGAATTGCGCTCCAGAAGTCCTAGGGGCCTCCTAGATGGGTCCGAGCACATGGGGTCGGAGTATCGCACCGAATCGTCGATGCATCGGCGATGCAGTGGCGATGCATCGGACATGCATCGGCACTGCATCGCCGGAGCGGAGAAATTCGGGCTCCACATCGGGCCGCGTTGCCGATGCATCGGCGATACGGCGCGATCCTCCGACCCCATCTCCTTGGACGCAATCCGGGAGGCCTTAAGGAATCAATCAATGACTCATCTACTTGAACAGGGACCGACCGCACAGGCATAGCTTGGGGCCTACCACGACATGTTCTCATAACCCTGCACGTTCCAAGAGCAACAACAATGTTCTTAGAACATAAACCTGATGTGTTAGGAGAAGACCGTCCAAGCCAGAAATGTTCCTAGAACATTTCGTGCAGACCACAAAAGGTGGCCCTACAAGCAAGCCAGGACGCTTCGCCACTGCTCGATCCAAGCAGACGCGTGCGAGCACAATTTCGGGCGTTGGCAGGGTCCTGCTCCTCGCGCAGCCGGCGCTGCTCCCGCCGCGCGATGGCGCGCCCAATCTCCTGAGACGAAGCCAGAGCGGGTATCAATCTCCGCTGGCAACTCACGGGAGCCTCCCATACCATCTTGTCGGCTCTTGCGAATCGACGCTTATCGACGCTAAGTCGAGGATCATCGACGCTAACAGACACTAAATCGGCGCTATCTCATCGAGTCCGCTAATCGACGATTTCCGACGCCAAAGACGGAATTAAGGGGGGAGGGCCAGGCTCCCATGATTTGCCACCGAATTTATCCGTGTAGGGACAAATCGAGAATTTCTGCGATCCAGCGGCTGTGCAAGATGCCTCGGGCGCCGCAGCCTTCTCAGAGCGTCCCAGGAAGCCCTGAGAGCGTTCCAGAACGCTCTGGAACGGATCTCTCCTCGCCCTAGCTAAAACAGGGCTAAGATCGGGATAAATCGCTCCAGAGCGTTCCGGAGCGCTCTCAGAGCGTTCTGGAACGCTCTGGAGCGGCCGCGGCGCCCAATACATCCTCCAAACCCGCCGATTCTCGGAGAGTTCGAGTTCTCCCGATCCGATGTTGGCCCGATCTTCCCGTCGTTTTGCTAGCCCCGTCCGAGCTCCTTCTGGAGCTCGAGCAGCGCGGGCTCGCCCGGCTTCTCCTGCGCTGCGCGCCCAAGGGGGGGGGGTGGGGGGGGGGGGGGCGAGGCCGACGAGGGGCCGCGCCCCTGGCGAGACGCACAGACGAGCATCCATCACTGCATGTATGATTCAGGCTCGTCAGAGGAATGTGTACACATCTTTGTTGTTCCCTGCCTCGGCTCTGCCTAGAAGGGTTCCTACCCTCTAGCTTAAAGGGGGCCGGGCAGTGGAACGCGCCCCGGGCGGTTCCCCCCAGTCCCCTGGGAGCCGAGCAACAGCAACAGCAAAGGTAAAAGCAAACGCGCGGTTCCCCCAGTTGCGCTCCCTGGGTGCCAAGCGAAAGCAAAAGCAAAGGCAAAAGTGAAGGCAAAAGCGAAGGCAAAGCAAAAGCATAGCATAGCATAGCATAGCGCAGCATAGCATAGCGCAGCGCAGCGCAGCATCGCATAGCCTAGCCTAGCCTAGCCTAGCCCAGCATAGCATTTCGCAGCATAGCATAGCATAGCATAGCATAGCATAGCGCAGCACAGCATCCACTATTGCTGCTGCTATATATATATATATGCGTGTGTGTACTTGGGCGACTGATGCCTGCTTCTGCTGCTGCTTCACTTACGGCGTGGCGTCGGCGGCTCTGGCGCTACTACTACTACTACTACTACTACTACTACTTCTTCTTCTACTAATACTACTACTAATACTACTACTAATACTACTACTAATACTACTACGACTACTACGACTACGACTACGACTACGACTACGACTACGACTACGACTACGACTACTACTACTACTACTACTACTACTACTACTTCTACGACTAGGACTAGGACTAGGACTACGACTACGACTTCGACTACGACTACGACTACGACTACGACTACGACTACTACTGCTACTACCACAACTACTACTACTACTACTACTACTGCTACTACTACTACTACTACTACTGCTACTACTACTACTACTACTACTACTACTACTACTACTACTACTAGTACTACTACTACTACTACTACGACTACTACGACTACTACGACGACTACTACTACTACTACTACTACTACTACTACTACCGCTACTGCTACAACTACGACGATGCGGAGAAGGGGGAGGACGGCGTTTACCGCTCCTACTAATGTTGCTTTCCTAGAAGCTCCAACTCCTAGGTAGGGTCGCACTGGGATGCTGTGTATATACTTATATACAGATATAGCGAAACGTATGGCAGGTGCTGGGGCCCAAAAATGGCTCCCCAAAAGTTCCTAGAACCCCTCAAGAGGCCAATAAGAGGCTCCAAAACGGCCCCCAACAGTCTTGGGGGCCATTTGAAGTGCTTTGGGCCAAGACGCTACAAAACTGCCTCCAAGAAACCCAACCAGGCCCCAAAATAGCTCCCAAGACGCCCACACGAATCCCCAAGCACTGCATCAGAAGCCCACGACGCCTCAACCGTGGACTCCCCGCCTCTTCTGGGGGTCAGCGGAATGGTGTGAACCTTTTGAACATAGATATGTGAGGACATCGATCTGTGTACATATCGTCCAAGATAATACAATACGCACAGACTTCTGTATCTGTATGTATATATATATATATATGTACACTCGCACATGTGTGTCAAGGTGGTTTCCAAACAGTGGTTTCGGATATTCTTGGTGTGGCATACATTGGGTGCAACCCGTGCATGGTGCACTACATGTGTTGCTATATTTTCGGCGCCGTACATGCAGTCTACGTGGTGCAACTAATGGGTGCAAAAATGCATGATGGCCTTGAAACCGCAATCTCAAATGATCGGCACACATCAGATGGCGAAATGTGACGCAAGCGCCCTCATCATGTGAATCCAACAGTCGGACGGGCGCGTGATGATGGCGACGACGACATCGGCGACGACGATGATGATGGCGATGATGGCCAGGGAGACGACAGAGAGGACGACCTTGATGATGAGTTGGCGGCTGCGCGATGGTTGTTGAATGTGCTCGATGGCCGCCCAGACGGGGAGGACGGGGGCAACGGGAATTCGAGCCCCGTGTGCCATTAGCCGCCGGCAAACAAACCGATCCCTGTTTGAGCCATGATCCGCTGCCTCCGCGCAGCATGTCAGTGACTGTTGGATCCCTGTTCTGCGCGGCACGATGACGGCTGGCAGCAGGTTGGTGAGGTGACGAGGGCAGGGTGCGCGAGACGACCGACCAGCAGCAAAACCAGGAGCAACGAGACAAAAGCACCAGGAGAGGATGGCCAACGGCAGCCATTGGCCGCGCGAGAGGAGCCTGTCCTGAAGCCCCTGCTCCAGCGCATCGCTCGCGTCTGGCAGTTGCAGGGGGGGGGGATGGCGCGCCGAGAGCGAGGCGTGGAGGAAGCAAGGCAAGCAGGAAGGGAGGGTGGTGGACGGAGGGATGGAAGCACCAGGGCAGGGCATGGCGGCCGCCTTATCAGATGGCGCGAGGGAAGGCTATGGGGCAAGTGGAGGAGAATCGGGCGTTGGCAGAACTGTGTTTAGTGGGACCTGGTTTAGTGATGTGTACTGGGGGTCGCCGGGGTCGCCCCGTTCCACTAACCGGAACTGCCGTCATCCGAAAAAAAACACCAGCTGCGGCAGACCTGGTTTGGTGATTCTGGCCCATTCAAGGGCTCAGGGGCCCTACCACTAACTGGGTCCCCTTACCTGGGGTCCTGGCTATACCCGAGAGAGGGGGGCGAGGGATGGATGCAGTGAAGGAAGGAGAGATGTAGAGTGGGACGCTGCCAAATCCTTCGTACTTCGTGATCCGTCCACGCCGGCCGCCAAGCGGGCACACCCTGACAGTCATGACCGACGCGCAACCGACCCCGTCCTGTAGACAAGCTCGTCTCTTCTGCCCGCTGGCCGAGGAGAAGGAGGAGGAGGAGAAACAGCAACAATAGGAGCAGGTGGACGAACCAAAGGGGGGAAGACATGGGTGGAGGCGGGGACAGAGCAAACAGAGAAAAAAAACGAGAAAGGAGGTGAGACAAGGGAGGAGGAGGGGGCGGGGCAGGGAGCGCGCCGGTGGGAAGCCTGAAGCGAGGGGGGAGGCGCTCTCCCGCGCGGGAACCATCACACCCCGCCGCGGCAGCTGCCGAGAGAGCCTCTTCCACCTCCTCCTCGTCCGCCTCTCTTCCTCCTCCTCCGCCTCTTCCTCCTCTTCTTCCTCCTCCAACTCCTCCTCCTCCTCCTCCTCCTCCGCCTCCTCCTCCTCTTCCTCCTCCCGCCCTCCTCAGGCCAGCTCTCTCGCCCGCTTACCCTCATTCGGAGGCCCCTGCAGCCTCCCTTGCCGAAGGCCGGGCCCTGAGCGATCCACGGCCGCGTCGCTCGGATCTCCGCGCCATCCCAGAGGGCCGCAGCAGCGAGAAACGAGGAGGCGGATGGGGAGAAGGAGCATAAGGGGGAGGAAAAGGAGGATGATGATGATGATGATAATGAGGAGGAGGAAGAGGAGGAGGAGGAGGAGGAGGAGGAGGAGGAGGAGGAGGAGGAGGGGGAGGAGAAGGAGGAGGAGTAGATGGAGGAGGAGGAGCAGGAGGAGGAGGAGGAGGGGGATGAGAAGAGAGGAGGAGGAGCAGGAGGAGGAGGAGGAGGAGGATGAGAAAGAAGCGGAGGAAGGAGGAGGGGGAGGAGAAGGAGGAGGAGTAATGGAGGAGGAGGAGCAGGAGGAAGGGGATGAGGAGGAGGAGGAGGCGGAGGAGGAGGAGGAGGAGGAGGAGGAGGAGAGGAGGAGGAGGAGGAGGAGGAGGGGGGTAGGAGGGGGAGGAGGAGGAGGAGGAGGAGGAGGAGGAGGAGGAGGAGGAGGAGGAGGAGGAGGAAGAGGAGGAGGAGGAGGAGGAGGAGGAGGGAGGGGCAGGGGGAGGAGGAGGAGGAGGAGGAGGAGGAGGAGGAGGAGGAGGAGGAGGAGGAGGAGGAGACGGAGGAGGAGGAGGAGGAGCGGATGAGGAGGGAGGAGAGGAGAGGAGGAGGAAGGGTGGGGGATGCGGATGAGGTGGAGGAGGAGAAGGAGTAGGAAGGGTGGAGGAAGAGGAAGAGGAGGAGAAGGAGGACCAGGAGGAGGAGGAACAGGAGGAGGGGGGATGAGAGGGACTTCCAGTATTCCAAGACTTCCGCCATCACGTAGTGAAGTTACACCAGCCTCCCTCTGAGCTCGAAAGCGAAGACGCCGAACCAGAGGGCGTAGGACAGGTACCAGCAGGAAACTTATGAATATAGCCCAGACGCAGAAGCTGCCCCTTACACTACCTGATGACAGCAATACCACTGGAGAATTACCATGCCAGCCCAAATACATACACAACCTAAAGCTGTGCCGCCGAATTGACACCACACTAGCATAACCAGTGGCTAAGCAGAAACGAGTTTGACTCTATCAGGCCCTACGGTGGATCACTGGGCTAACTCTCGCAATGAAGGAAAGAGTTAGCCTCACCCACAGACCACCTCGCCCCAGCCAAACAAAGGATGCGCCACCGACAGCAGAAGCCCCAGACTGCAATACTTTGCACAAGATCAGCACGCTTGCAATACAACCCAGAGCATGGATACATAAGCATACAAAACTGAAAAATGGTACGCGCAGGCCGAGGGGTGAAAGGCTTAAGTGGGCTCGCAACCCCGTGCCTCCAACCCAACACTCGGCATGGGACGGAACTTCAGGAAGATGAATGGCATATGTGCGCCCAGGCCGAGGGGTGGAGGGCTTAGATGGGCTCGAAGCCCGCGTGCCTCCGACCCAACCCCCGCCCTGGGTCGGTCAACCCCCAGAAGACTCCCGTGAACACTGACCAGATCCAGAGCAGCCCAAATGGAAGTACCCTCGAGCTTGTTCTGCCTTAGCCATGGCCCTGTAGCGATCAGTAAAGGAAAACTGCATATCTTGCCAGCTCGAAGACCTCGCCAAAAGCAGCCCTTCTGGAGAAGGCACGACGTCGCGAATCGGCGTAATGATACCCTCCATATTCTTATGCCTCTGCCCAAGGCCCCAACAAAACTGCATGCGTAGCCGATGGGAGACGAGTCCACCCGGATCCAGCCAACGTCCACCCGATTGAAGCCCTTGTCAATCATGAGACGTGCCCTCAAGCGCCACCAGGAGGCATCCGGGTGCGACGCCAAGGCGGAGGTTGAGCCAAAAGGACCTCCGTGCCTTGGGCCATATGTGCTTGAGATAGGGGGAGGAGGAGGAGGAGGAGGAGGAGGAGGAGGAGGAGGAGGAGGAGGAGGAGGAGGAGGAGAAGGAGGAGGAGAAGGAGGAGGAGAAGGGGGAGGAAGGGAGGAGGACGAGGGAGAGGAGGAGGAGGAGGAGGAGGCGGAGGAGGAGGAGGAGGAGGAGGAGGAGGAGGAGGAGGAGGAGGAGGAGGAGGAGGGGGGGGCGAGCGGCAAGAGGCGGAGGAGCACGGGCTCGGGCACCGTCGAGCATCCCGCGCCGCAGCTTCGCGCGCGCCAGCTGGTAGTGGCTCTTGGTGGACGGCGGGTTCCCCAACCGCACCGCGCTGCCTGCGTCGACCTCCGTGTGGCCCCCGCCCTCCAGTCGCTTTTTATACCCCCTCCCCCGCGGCCCGCTCGGCCACCTCTACAATTACACGACAGGAATACTACTCTCTTCTCTCCCCTAATGACGTCCAGAAGATATCTTCGCCCCCCTCGGCGTGCTGTTTTTTGCACACAGGATTCCCGGGAATGGGGGGTTATGCTTGGTTTTGTCGTCAGAATGCTGCTCCCGCTGAAGCGCTGGCCTCATTCTCGGGCTTCTGCTCATTCCGAATCGTGCTCCCGCTGCATCGCGGGCCTCATGTCAGCACTTTCGCTCATTCCGAATCGTGCAGCGGGAGCAACGCTGGCCTTAGTTCCGCACTTCCGCTCATTCCGAATCGTGCTCCCGCTGCAGTGCTGGCGTCATTATTTCCAGTGCCATGCCACGGCAGGCAATGCAATGCTATGTGGTGTTCCGCTGCGCGATGCCATGCCTTCAGCTGCAATACTAAGATACGCACTGCTTGGCTATGCAGTGCAACGCCACGGTATGCCTTGCTATGATTTGATCTTCAACGCCATGCTATGCCATGTTATGACATGTGCCGCTGTGCGATGCCATCCAGCATCTGCGTTGCAATACTGTGATGCAAGTCTTCACGACGCAGCGCCACGCCATGCTATGACGTACTACGCTCCTCCGTGCCCGTCTGCGCACTGCTATGCCGTGCTCGACTATTGGGAGCATTGCCCTGCTCCACATCCGACTGTGCGAACAGAGAGAATAGTTAAGCATTGTAAGGGATGGGAGGAAGGGGGAGGAGGAGGAGGAGGAGTAGGAGAAGGAGGAGGAGGAGGAGGAGAAGGAGGAGGAGGAGGAGGAGAAGGAGGAGGAGAGCGAGGGGAGAGGAGGAGGAGGAGGAGGAGGAGGAGTAGGGGTGTAGGTGTGACGCGCGCGCCCGTTTCTTCTCAGAGTACCCCTCCGCCTCACCCGGCCTCCGCCGCGCGCGAAAGCCGCCTCCTCATCCTCCTCCTCCTCCTCCCTCCTCCCTCCTCCTCCTCCTCCTCCTCCTCCTCCTCCTCCTCCTCCTCTCCCTCCTCCTCTCCTCTTCCACCTCCTCCTCCTCCTCCTCCTCCTCGGCCTCCGCCGCCCACGCCTCTGCATCCACGTCATCCGCCTCCACTCCCTCCCGCCTGCCCTCTTCCTCCGCCGCCCCGGCCTCTGCATCCACGTCGTCCGCCTCCTTCTGCCCCCTCCTCTCCCGCTCGCGTCCCTCCCCTCCTCGTCGCCCTCTTCGCCTCCTTCGGTGGTGCGCCCAGGGGGGGGAGAGGCAGACGGGCCGACATTCTCAGAGGCGGCGGGGCTTCTCAGAAGTCCTCCCGCCTGCTGAGAGGGCCAGCCCCCTCCGCCCCCCAAATGCCGCCGACTTTGTCTCTACTGGCGGAGGCTCAATAGAGGGCACAGAACAAGCACTCGGCATCTGAATTCACAATCCGCGGCCGACCCATATTGCCCCAGCGCTTTCCGAACTCTTGTTTGCTTGTCGTCCAGATCCCTTCCCTCCTGCACCACTCAATGGTTGCGTCGGCGGCTAGGCGGGGATCGTCTGCGCTGGCGGAAGAAGCTAACTAAACGGGGGCTCCTGTGTAGCGAGTCCTCCTGCACCACACTGGCGCGTCCAAGAGCACCGCAGGCACACACGATTAGAAGCCTTGCTTTAAGAAACCATGCCGTAAGAACGCTCTTCGTAGAGCTCCGGACTCCCTGAGGTGTCAGCTCTGAACCTCCAGAGGGCTCTCTGTGGCTCCCCATGGCCCTCGGGGGATACAGTCGGGGCGTTGACCTGGGGAACCCTGAAGAAGGAACGAGGCCCCCTGTCTCCCATAAGTTCAACTTCGGCTTCCCATGGACAACCTCAGGAACACGCAAGGCAAGCTGTAAAACAGTCAAAGAACACCGAGCCCCTCCCCAATGACAAGGGTTCCTTCTTCAGCGCCCCTACTGTAAGAGATGCCCGCGGGGCACCTGCCGGCAGGCCGGCTTCGAGTGCGGCGCACCCGCTGCCGGGAAATCGGAGGCATCCGCGAGGCCAGCCTCGCGGCTCGACCTGCCTCCCGACCTTCCTCCGGCCTCGGCTCGGCTGCCCGACCTCGGCCGGCCCCCTGCCCCGTCCGTCCGCCCCGAACGCCCCGAGGATCGTCGCCAGCCCCCGCCTGCTGCTCCTGCCGCCCTGGCCGATCCAAGCTGCGCCCTCCTGCTGCGGCCTGGAGGAGCACCTACGGAGCACCGCCACACGGGTCGCTGGCCCCACGAAGCTGGAGTGCCTTGTGGGGTCTGCTCTATACCGTAGCCGGGTCTACCCTTTCTCCGATCTTGCACCGCGCCGAACGCAACGGCCGCGTTGTCCATAAACGTATCCACCCCGAAAGGGTCTAGGGACGTCGCGGCACCCAATGTGTCCATAGACGCTTTTGGCTGGGACGCGAGAACGGTATGTGGCATCGGCCCCAGACGCTGGTTTTCTAGAAGCAGGCGGGCTTGGCCATCCGACCACGAAGCCCGCTCGCCGAACGGAGCCCTTCACCCGCAGAGGCCGACCTGCTGCGCGCACCCACTTCAGCGCATCGCGGGCGGGGCAAGGTGGCGGGGCCCCACGGCCCAGGGCCGCAATGCAGCAGCGCCGTCTAGACACGGCACGCACCCACGAGCGCGCGCACAGTCGCGGCACAGTTCACCCGCACGGCAAGGATGGGCAACCTTCCCCTTGCATGGACGATTGCAAGGGAGAGAACTCGATGAGGAGGAGCGGCAATAAGCGGGTGATCAGACGCAAGGGGGAGGAGGAGGCGGAGGATGTCCGTACGTACACTCAATCCGCGTAGGGAGGATGGGCAACCTTCCCAAGGGTACCCTTGCATCCTTGCCTCCGCGGTCCATCCTTGGCCACTTTCGTGGGCCGCGCCCCGCTCGAGAAAAGTCGAAATGGGCGTCAATGGCCTTTGCATCCTTATCGCGCATCCTTATGATACGGGCTGGTACTACCAGAAGGCACACCAAATACGGGAAGATACCCATTGCTGGCCCCTATCAGCACCCAGGTGCACGAGGCGTGTTAGAGGAGCAGCCATGGAAGAGCTGAAGGATCAGCGAGCCCCGTCTGGATTCAGAGTGGTTCTTATCTCAGCGTCTTGGCTGTAAGCGCGACACCGCTCACGGTAAGACTTCAAATTTGAAGGGGAGGTCGACGATCCTCGTTTGGCAACGATACCAGAGGCGTCCTAGCAGTCGGAGCAGATGGGGTCGGAGAATCTCGCCGCATCGCCGACGAATCGGACATGCCTCGGCCAAGTCAACGGTGCATCGGCCACGCCAGCGTGGAGAAATTCGGGCTCCGCATCGGGCCGCATCGCCGATGCATCGGCGATGCGGAGTGGCCCTCCGCTCCCATCTACTCAGACCCCATCTAGGAGGCCTGGGGAGAAAGAGCACATACCCCCCTCCCAAGTGATACGCCCTCCGCGCTTCCAGCCCTCGTCCTCTGGCAGGCCACCCCCTTACCATCCTCGGGCCGCACCGCTGCCAGGGCCGAGGAGGGGGGGGCGGTCGCAGAAGCGTGCGGAGGGCGGGGATCCCTGCACGCGCGGACCGTGCAACGCGGTGCCTGCGGGCTTGACACGCGGGGATGTTGGCAAGCGCTGACCGTACACCCTGCGAAATGCTTAAGAAATCATGGGTTAAGAAATTCATAGTCTCAGAAATTGAATAAAACCCAGAACTTCTATCAAAATCTTGTGATTTACATTGAAAAGTTAAGAATAATCGAGACTCTGGCCGAAAACTTAAGTTTTCTTAAGCATCGCCTAAGGTGTACAACGGTACAGGCGGGGATCTGTCCATATCCACCGCCTGGGAGACCGATGTCCTGTGGCCCCAGGGGGCGGTGCATATGGATGCGTAGCACCCCGCAGCTGCGGATCAGAGTGAGGGCACGACGTGGTCGACGGCAGTCTGCGAAGCTCTGAGCACGCCCGCCGCGGGCGCCGATTGTATAACACATTGCGCAACGAGCCCGCCGCACGCGCCGAACTTTTGTCAACGCAGTGCGGGTGGGTCGCCGGTGGATCGCGGGGTGGATCGTGGGCGAGGACGACGACAACAACAGTAACGCAACAACAACCCACGCCACGCAACCCCATCTCCGCCACGCGCCCAGGGACAGTGAACGACAATTCTGCCCCCTTGCTCTGATATTTGGGCCCGTTGGAGGCAGGGATGTATGCAGATTCACCGCCTGGGGAAATGATCTCCTGGTGCCCCATGGGGAGGTGGAGTTGGATATAGTTGGGCTCCCTGGGGCCCGAACATATCCACATCCTTAGGTCGGGCCAGTCCCTGTACAAGGGGATCTTGGACGAATAATATACCCAAAAAATATTCGCCAAATGCTTACACATCATTTTAGGAAATAAGTCATCCCCAGACTATGTTTTGACTATTTTTGAACATCCCTCCTGTAGAGGGACACGCCCGACTTTAACATAGGAGGAGGGGGGAGGGAGGAGGAGGAGGAAGAGGAAGAGGGGAGGGGGACCAGCATGCAATAACTATAGATGGGCTCCCTGGGGCCCGAACATGTCCATAGCCGCCGCGTGCCGAGGACCCCCCCAAAAAAACGATCCCTCCAGGCGGCTGTCATGGATACACACACACACACCACCGCCTCGGAAACCACACCTCCACGGAACGGTGGCGCCCTCCCCCGGGGGGAAGTAGGAAGAGCAGGTGAGGAGATGAGGAGGAGGGGGGAGGAAGTCAGGATTACATTTCGGTCGGGCGTGTCCCCCTGCAGGCGGATTTGGACGACGATTAAAACATTCCCCAACAATATCCAAACATTGTCAAACATCGTCCCCATACTGTCTATTACTATGCTTATTCCTCCTGTAGAGGGACGCGCCCGACTTAATGTTATGGATACACACCCGCCTCGGAAGCCACACTTCCACTGAACGGTGTCGCCCTGCCCCGGGGGAGGAGCAGGAAGAGGAGATGAGGAGATGAGGAGGGGGGAGGAAGTCAGGATTACATATCCGATGCGACTCCTCTCCCAGACAGCACCCTGTATGTCGTTTTCAGTGCGCGGTCCCAGAAGTAACGACACCTGTCCATGTTGCGTGGGATGTCCGTCGACTTGAGTCGAACTTGAGTCGAGCTAGAGTCGAACAATATCAGAACATGTTTATAACTAACCTCGCGCAGACCCGATTAGGTGGACCCAGTGAAGTCCCCGGAACAAACATCTAACTCTGGGCTCTGGGGCTGGGAAGTGTATACGAGCACGCCGGTGCAGCTGGATCCCAGTGACACGCTGCTGATATAACAAACTCCAAACAACAACGGAACTCGGAACGGTATCAATACCTTTTGGTCCAAAAAGTACTGATACCGTTACTCCACGGACCTCTCCCGGGCTGCGCTCTGACCTGAATGTCGAGGCGAGTCGGCGACTCCAGCGATGGCGACGAGGGCCGCCCATGAGGCCCAACAAGGGGGTCGGGGATCTGCTGACCCGGGTCATTCCAGACCCGGGTCAGTCAGGCCTTGCAGCATCCTGCAAGATCCCGCAAGATCCTGCACCCAAGCCCGGGTCAATGCGCAGGTACTGCAAGATCCTGCAGGATGCTGCACCCAAGCCCAGGCCAATGCGACCCTTGCCCTGCAGGATCCTGCAAGATCGGGCGCTCTGGCTGACCCCCGTTTGCATTGACCCCCGTCTCAAGGCTCCCGAGAGGAAAACGGGCGAAGGGTACTGGCATGGGTACATGTTCCTCCTCCGAGGCCCTAATGAATAGACGGCCTACCCCGCAAGGCCTCCGCGTCCTTCCACAGCTCGAGGGCGGCGTGCGCGATCGCCCGGTTCAGGTGGTAGGTGGAGTTCTTCGGGTCCGCCCGGATGGCCTCTGCGCAGGCCGCACGGCAGCTAGGATGCGGATGGGTACTTCGACGACGACGACGGCGTCGGCAATCACAAGACAGGGCTTTCAAGAGGAAGAGAGAGAGAGAGAGAGAGAAAAAAAAGACGAAGTCAGAGAAAGCGATCGGTTTACAGACATAGTGGGAGAGAGAGAGAGAGAGAAAGGAAATATAGAGAAAGAGAGAGAGCGAGAAGGAGCGAGGGAGAGGTAGAGAGAGAGAGAGAGAGAGATATGGCGATGTCAAGAGATGGAGATTGATGGGGAGGAGGAGGAGGAGGAGGAGGAGGAGGAGGAGGAGGCAGATGAGGCGGGAAGGCAGCGGGAGGCCGAGGGCCTTCCCCATCCCTGCCTGGCGATGGCGCTACCGAATCGTCAGCTCAGACACCTCTGGGCGTGACCACTCCGCCACGAGGAGGCGCCCACGAGCAGCCGGGCTGCTCCTCGCGAGCCGTGGGGGGCGCTGCGGCCTCGGCGCACCGCCTGGGCGCGGCCAGTGCCCCCGTCGCGCCAGCACGCCCAGGCGACGCACTCCGCTGGTTCGCCCTCCCTCCTCCCCTCGGGGGCGCGCAGACATTAGAGAGCAGAACATCCACCCCGATGATAACCACCCTGACACGCGAAGCCTTTCAGTAAGCGCGCCCAGAGAAGGAGTCAAACAGGGCAGGGCTAGTGAGTAAACGTCCAGGGCTGTTCGGTAAACACCAATTGTCCGGTCCGGGTGGATTTTCTCCTCCCTTGAGGCATGGACCACCGATCGGTGGATCTGACGCGCGGTCGCCAAATCCAGGGATCGGGGAGGTGCCCTCCCCAGAATGCGGCCGGCGCCGCCTCGTTCGGCGGCGGAAGTGCGCGGTGTCCCATGGAACCGGACCCGTCGCTCATCCAGGCCCCCTTGATCCATGTTTGCGGTCAGAGTACCGTTTCTCCGATCCCCATCCCCAGCGGCGTGGCCTAGGCCCCACTGGCCGATCTACCCTTCCCTCGTGTTCCCCAAACTGGGGTGGCAGTTTGGTGGGGGTCTCGAAGGGTATGGAGATGGGGATGGGGATCGGTGAAACGATACCGACGATCGCCTGATCCCCGCTCGCCCCCCGCCCCCCCCCTCCTACAGGAGCGGCGCGCCCCTCGCGGGCCGAAGGGGGGCGACCGCGGACGGCCGCAGACAGCAGGCACGCGCGGACGCCGCGCGGGGGCGGCCGGGGCGAGACAGCCACAGGCTCCTTCGGCCACAGCGCCAGGTGCGGGGCTGTGCACACGCTGCCCATCGATGGCGTCACTGGGCCCGGGGACCCGAGGCGAGAGTCGAGGGTTACACCGCTGCGCAAGCATGCGCTTTCGGAGGTCCGTGCGGCTTTCTTGGATCAGCGCTGGGCCCCCCTCCCTGGTGCTCGCAGGAGGCGCGGGGGCTCAGCCCTGATTCAAGAAATCTGCGCGGAGCCTCGACCGTGAATGTTTATGCTCTTGCTTTCTGGGTAAGGAGGAGAAGGTCGAGGAGAGGGAGGGGAAGGACGAAGCGAGGGAGGACGATGGGGGAGGGCGAGGAAGGGAGAACGAGGACGAGGGCGAGGAGGCAGAGCGAGGAGGAGGGCGAGGAGGAGGGCGAGGAGGGGAGGGACGAAAACGCCGTAAACACAAACTTTCGGCGCTCCGCGCGGATTTCTTGGATCCGCGCTGGGCCCCCCCTCCCTGGAGGCGCGGGAGGGGCGGCGCGGGAGGCGCCGCCGGGGGAGCCCAGGCGAGGATACAAGAAAACCGCGCGGAGCGCCGATAGTTTATGCTTATGTGCTTGTTTTTCTTCTTCGAAGACATGCATCCGAATGGAAGCGAAGGTCAAGACGCGGGTCGAGGAGCAGGTCGGCAAGGGTCTAAGATCAGGTCGGGCATGTCCCCCCATCAGACATAGTCACAAGAGTATTCAACAGTAGTCAAACATGGTATGGTAGAACAATAATCCCCAGACTAATTCCCCACATGTTTGGTTTTCATCCATGCCGCGTCGCACCCGCGTCTCCCGCACACAAACACACACACACACCTCCCCTCCCCCCTCCTTCCTCCCCTCCTCCACTTCCTTCCTCCCTTCATCCACACGCAACCCATGCACGGCACGTGCGTCAGACACGCGTCTACATGCAGCCGCACGCATGCTCACACCTTAGTGGGCCCCGGAAACGGCAGGGCCGTTTTTTCACCGTTTCCGAGAAAATGTCCCTTGAAAATGGAAACGGCAAAAAAAACGGCGACCGGAAACGGCAAAAAAACGGCTCCAGGATTGGAACCGGAGCCGGAACCTGTCAAAAAACGGCGACGGAACCGGTAAAACAACGGCGTCGGAACCGGCAAGAAAACGGTAAAACGGAACCGTTAATAAAACGGCCCTGTCGTTTCCAGGACCCACTAAGGCTCACACTCGCACACGCACACACACAGACACACACACACACACAACATACACCATACAACGCTAGTACACGCCTGGCGTGTCCACTGCATCATACACCTAAGACGTATGCACCACATGCTGGGCACCCAAATGAGACACACGTCCAGGTACGGCCGCACACGCATCCTACACATACACATGATACCGGAGAAAAAACCCAATCAGAATTTGTTTGGGGCTATAGGGCTATAGGGCTATAAGGCTACTATAGGGCTGTAGGGCTATAGGGCGATAAAAATATAGGTCTATAAGGCTATAGGCCTACAGGGCACCTGGCACCCGGGCACCCGGCACCCGGGCACCCGCCCGGACACCCGCCCGGGCACCGGGCACCCGTCACTCTGGCATCTGGGCACCTGGGCACCCGGGCACCCGGGCCCCGCCACCGAATCGGCGGCGAACCCGGGCACCCGGGCACCCGGGCACCCGGGCACCCCCGGGCACCCGGGCACCCGGCCCCGGCCACCGAAATCGGCCGCCGACCTCACCTCAGCTTTATATCTGCTAGGACCCCTACAGAGGCAAGCTCTGATTGGGGAATAACGCGCCATACACAAAATAAACGTGCAGGATGCGTAGGGCACGGCAGGCGTGGCACAATCTCGCCACTAGAGGGGGTTCGCAGGGGGGGGGGTCCCTCAGCGCGGTCTCTATACGCGCCAATGTCGCAGGGCCCCGCAGGAGTGGCACCTTCTCGACACCGGAGGGGGTGCGCAGGCGGTGGTCCCTCATCGATGTCTCTACACGCGCCAATGTTGCAGGGCATAGCAGGCGTGGCACTTTCTCGACACCGAAGGGGCTGCGCAGGGGGAGGTCCCTCAGCGCGGTCTCTATACGCGCCAATGTCGCAGGGCCTAGCAGGTGTGGCACCTTCTCGACACCAGAGGGTGTGCGCAGGGGGTGGTCCCTCAGCGCGGTCTCTATACCCGCCAAAGTCGCAGGGCCTCGCAGGCGTGGCACTTTCTCGACACCAGAGCCAGTGCGCAGGGGGTGGCCCCTCACCGCGGATTCCATACGATTTTTTGAATCAATAAAAATACGAGCATAACAACAAACAAGGAACAACAAAAGAAAAATAACACAAGGGTTTTGAGACTCGGCCAATCGTGCCATTTTTTCAGATTTGACCCCACTCTTCCTCTTCCTCGCGCTCCCTATCCGGCCCGCCCGCCATCTTGTTAAAATTGCTTTCAATTCGCGTGATTTTCCGTGCGCAGTGCTGTGGGTTTTGCCCTGGCGTTTTATTTGTTACAAGGCTCTATTTCATCTGTCAGTGCCACGGGAACATGTCAACTGGATCACGCCTGCACTCTCATTACCAATCTGCACAACAGATGATGACTTCGAGGGGGTGGCACGGGGTAGTCCCTCACCGCGGTCTCTATACGCAGCGTCCGGGAAAAGGAGGAGGAGGCAGCAGCGGAGAAGGAGAGAAGGAGGACGGAGGAAGGGAGGGGCGGAGGGAGACTGCTCGCTCGCGTCGGGCGCCCGGGGCCCCCGCAGCCGCGGATGGACCTGCCGGCTCCGACCAACATGGCGTACCGCCACTCGGAGGGAGAGGGAGGGCGAGGACGGGAGGCGGAGGACGGAGGAGGCGATGGGGAGGAGGGAGAGCGCACGCTCGAGTCGAGCGCCTGGGGCCTCCATGGAGCCGCAGATGGACCTGCTGGCCCGCCGGGCCCGGAGCCGCCGAGCGGGCCCGGGGGCCGCCGAGCATTGTTCCTTCGCTCGGATCTGATCAGAGGCTTTCCGCTGAAGATCGCGTTCCGTAGTGTGCGTTGCCTCGTGGGCGCCGCAGATCGCTGTCCACGTGTGTCGAACAACAGCTCATCTTTATCTCCGCTCCACTCTCCCCCCCCCTCTCCTCTTGACTGGCGTCACCAACGGTATCGGCGGGGCAACGGCCACCAACACATTCTCGCATGCTTCACGTCAGCTCTCATCACCCCAGTCATAATCTAAGTATGTGGGATTCCTCGGTGGCGTCATTGTTTAACTATTCTTGAGGATTTCATCCTGTAGAGGGACGTGCCCAACGCAAGCCTACGATGCAGCAGGGGCAGCTGTGGGAACGCGGCCACGCGCACTCCTTCATGGCTGGCATGTCAGGGGGCCACATGCGGACCCTACCCCTACCCACCACGACTTCTGAGGGGGAGGGTGGGGTTCACTTCGTTCGGGAGCTCACGAGCGAAGTGAACCCCACCCTCCCTCTCAGAAATCGTGGGGGGCGGGGGTAGGGTTCGCATGTGGTCCCCTACATGTGTCCCGCAGGGGGGCCGCGGCGGTGAGGACCAAACGGGTAGCCCTCACTGCGGCGAGAGCGCGGCTCCCGCACAGACCGTACGGGGAGCCTCGGGCGACGCGGCTGCCCGCCCCGGGCGGCCCAGGGGCTCCCCGCCCCCCTTGGTTGTGGACTGCCCCGTGGTCCGCTCTGACCTCTCACGCCGTTCGGGAAGAAGCGCCTGTGTTGCTTCTCCGAGAAGGAGAAAGATGAGCGTGAACATGCACTTTTGGCGCTCCGCGCGGACCCCGAAAAAATCCGCGCGGAGCGCGAACAGTTTCTGGTTACGTTTTTGTGGTTCTTCCATGTCGTTCTCCGAGACGAGGGCGACACCCGCGTCGGTTGCCGAGGCCTCCCGGGGCAGCCTCCTCTCCGGTGCCGCCCCGCCTCGAGCTCTGGGGAAAGCTCTGAGCTGGCGTTAGGTCGGGCCTGTTCCCTTCAGCAGGATTTGGGGCGAACAATTTTAAATACTCAGAGAATGTGCCCAAAAAGCTTTCAAATTGTAACACAACCGTCCCCAGACTATGTTTGACTACTTCTGAATACCCCTTCTGACGAGCGACACGCTCGACTTAAGGCTCGGCCAGAATTTTTGGTCCCCGAAGTTTGTTTGGCCGCAGCGCGGCCGCTCGTGCGGCTGCGACGCCGATGATCAGCGCCATGCATGCCACCAGCCCTCTGGGCTGAGGGGGCTTGGGGCGCTTCCTCTTCCATCCTCCCCCCTGCTTCCCGCTGTGTGGGGGGGGGTCTTGACCCAGTGCCCCAAGACTCGGAGAGACTCGGAGAGACAGCGAAAGAGGACTCTGGCCCACAGAGGCTCCCCGAGGTTTCCAAAAGATACCACGCTCCCCCGATCAGGACATGGATGGGATGGTGGGATCGGCTGGTGTTAAAGCCCATATTTCCGAACATCCGCATACAAGTAGGGGGGCGGGCGGGACAAATGCAGAAAGGGACGGGGAGGACAGGGTGGAGTGGGAGAGACGAAGGACAAACAGGCAAGAAGGATTCAGAGTGGTTGGAGGCAGGATGAGGGTCAAAGAGGAAGCAGCTGTCAAAGGCGGGAGTCGGGGGAGGAGGTGAGGAGGACTTTTGGGCAGGGGCGTAGTCATAGGAAGGGTGCAAGTGTGAAAACTCGTTGGAGGTGGTGCAGCGCATGGACGGGTGACTGAGGCTGTGGAGCCAGCAGAGGACAAGGCTACGAAAGCGAGATGGATACGTGGATCCCTCGCGTGGATCTTGGCGTCAATGGTGTAAAGAGCGTGCAGTGGTCAGCCTTCGTGTAATACTTCACGGCCTTCAAGAAACATCCCTTTTCTCGCTGGCTGCTGCCGCCTTCGCCAACGCCGAAAATCAACGGAAATCGGAACTCAGCCGTCGCCGCAGGACCAGCCCATAGTCATGCCCCAACGGCCCCTCCACCGCATCAGCCGCGCGCGTCGGGCCCCGTGACCAACCTCCCTCAGGCTAGATCTGCGATCGCAAAGCGATACTTCGACCTCACCGCCCGCCCTTCCATGAATTCCTGGCCTCAAACTGTCGACCTAAGACGTGTCTCCAAACGGCCAAGGCGCATTGACGCATGATTGGATTGACTGTTCCGTGGTATTTTTCTGAGGAGTCGCATACCGTGTTGCTTCAACTGTCGCCACCAAGTTCCGTTCATCGGTTAATTCGTTCTCAACTCTACGCAGGCTCACTTGCCCGCCCGCGCCATTTTCTTATATGTTCAACGCGTGTCCAGCGCACCAGCAGCCTTCTCAGAACTTGAACGTTCCTGCCCCCTTTCCGAAGGTGCTGCTTCCAGCTGCAGTGCTGTATTTCTGTGTCAGCTTCCGTTCCAAATGTGCGCCGTTTTGTTGTTGGTGTTTTCGGTCGAGCTTCGTTGCGCCTCCAGTCTCCATCTTCCAAGGCTGCAGAGCTGAGACTGGGGGGGGGGGAAACAAGAAACGCCCCTGAGACTTCGAGACTCTCAAGGTCTCCGGGGCGTGGTCTCTCAGAGAGACTCTCGAGACTCTCGAAGTCGTAGTTTGCACCCGCGCTGTCTCTCAGAGAGGCAACGCGGGTGCAAACTACGACCCTGCAGAGAGAGCCTCGAGAGCCCACAGGGCCGGGAACCTGGGGATGAGACGCCCGCTGCGACGCCGCCCCCCCCACGAGGGTGAATATCGCGGCGTACTGCCCCGCGTCATGCCACGACCAGCGCGCGAACGCCGCGCGCAAGCGCCGATGCATATAGGAACAAGCAGAGGCCACACCCACCACCACCAGCGCGGAGAGGCAGGGAGGGCCCTCCTGCTGGTGTGGCCCCCCCCCCCTCGCTCGAGACCGATCCCTTGTCCCTGGTGGCATCGTGATTCTGCTGGAAGTGCCCCCCCCTGGTGGTGGTGCCGTCGCTAATCAAGAGGAGCAATAAACTGGATAGACATGCACTTGCGGAGGTCCGCGCGGATTTCTGGGATCGGTGCTGTACCCTCTTCCCTAGCGCGCAGAGCGCGCCAAGGGCGGCGCCAGAAGCGCCGCCGGGGGGCCCAGCGCTGATGAAAGAAATCCGCGCGACCCTCGAAAGTTCATGTTTATGGCATTGTTGGCTCGCCGACCCTCCTCCCTCCAAGGCCACGCTAACGGCGATGCTGCTTAACGGTGATGTTGGAAACCAACGTGTAGGTCATCACGACCCACACTTCCCTACATTTCCCCTGTGCAAATGCATCGAACGGAAACGACACAACGACGTGCAAAAACACGAGCCACTCGTTCCCACAATACGGAAACCTACGTCGCCGTTACCTACACCGCCATGAGCGTGCCTACGGTCCCTCCAAGAACCCTGGCCCGATTTTTCTGGCAACATGGTGTCCTGCCGCGCTGGCTTCCGCTGCGCGCCCGCGGGGCCCCACCGTGCTGCCCCGAGGGCATCTGGGCAGTGCCCTGCCGTGGTGCCCCGACGGCAGGACGATGGTGTCTCCGACGATGGCGGCTGCACCTGCGACCCCGAATCAAAGAGGGCAAAGGTACCCATACCGCTACCCTTCCCTCGTCTTCCCCCTTTGTTGGGCCTCCCGGGAAGCCCTCGTCGCCACCGCTGGATTCGCCTCGAACTTCTGGTCAGAACGCACCCCGGGAGAGGCCAGGGGAGTAGCGGCATCGTCACCCTTTCTGCATCCCCACCGAAGGGTGTGGTCTGCAAGGGGTGTGGCTTGCAACCCGCGCCCGGTGGAGGTGGGCGAGGACCTCCACAGAGATCTCTGTGGCGCCCAGGCGAGGGCCCGTCCAGGCTCTGGCGCAGGGCGGCGGCTCCTGGACCCCTGCGGCGCCGATCGGGAACCACACCCTGGCGTAAAGCCACCCCCGTTGTGGTGGCCGACTGATGTGGGGTTCCACTGGTGTCTCCCGAGGTCCCTGGTGTGATTCGCCGACTCCCGGCACCGACCCGATAGACCTTCAGCCCTGTCCCGATGGTGCGCCAATGGTGTCCCAGCGGTGGTTCGACGGATGTGCGATCCTGTAAAAAATAAGCTCCAGCTGACTTGCTGTGCTATCCGAAAATACGTCGCCCTAGTATTGTCCAACTTGTGACCCAAGGGCGTCCCGACGCTGTCACGATAGATTTTGCGAATATGTAATCATGTGTTTGCCATCGGCTTGCGAAAACGATCGTACGGACAACGATGGTATGCCGTGAAGCTCTGTGCTGCACTGCTGCCTTGCTGGTGTCTCGTGCCGTCTTCCGTTACCTCGTCCTGCCTCGTGGTTCCTGTCTCTTCTCTCTCCAGTCCTGCTTCCTTCCTGTTCACTGTTTACGGGGCCAGTAGCCCCAATAATGCCCAAAGATGTCCTCGAGAGCCCAAGCTGGCCTAAGATGACCTCAGGGCGGACCACATACGGATTCGAAGGGGGGCTCAAAAATCTGCTCCGAGGGCCGCCTGTCGCTTCGAGACTGCAATAATCGTAACTTGACGCCTGGCTTGCTCCCGGGAGGACCAAATACAGGACGGCTCCGCCTGGGGCTTCGTCGACAGAGGCACAGACCTCTGGTACACCTCGCGACAGATATGCCTTGACTGCACTGGTGACCTATAGTCTCTGGGACCCAGGAATATTCATTTGCACACATCCTAAGAACGAATATTTATTTTCTTCCACTGAAGACATGAATACTCCCCCAATTCCCAGGAACTAATCTGCCAGCCCCCTTGTGGGGCCACACGGCTGTAGGACCAGGGTTTGCTGTTCCCTGCGTCAGCTCCAGTTTCCAGTTTCCACTGTTACAATATTGCTTGATGCTGCGTAGTGTTCCGTGTTGTAGAACGCCCGAGGGGGGGGGGGGAGCCGAAGATCAGCCTGGTTAGCGTCCCCTGGGAGGGGTCTCAGAATTCCTGGGGGGATCGAAATTAATACCCCTCCTGCAGATCGGCGGGGTCAGGGTCCAAAAACACATAGGATTTGCGACATTTCTGAAATTCGGCGGCACCCCTCACGCAGATCGGCGGGGTCAGGGTCGAAAAACCAATGGGATTTGCGACATTTCTAAAATCCGGCGGCACCCCTCAAACAGATCGGCGGAGTCAGGGTCGAAAAACCAATGGGTTGTGCCACATTTCTGAAATTCGGCGGCACCCCTCACGCAGATCGGCGGGGTCAAGGTCGAAAAACTAATGGTATTTGCAACGTTTCTGAAATTCGGCGGCACCTCTCACGCAGATCGGCGGGGTCAGGGTCGAAAAACACAAGGGATTAGCCACATTTCTGAAATCTGGTGGCACCCCTCCTGCAGATCGGTGGGGTCAGGGTCGAAAAACACATCGGATTTGTCAGATGTCTTTAAAATTCGGTGGCCCCCCTCATGCAGATCTGCGGGGTCAGGGTCCAAAAACACAAGGGATTAGCCACATTTCTGAAATTCGGTGGCACTCCTCATGCAGATCGGCGGGGTCGGGGTAGAAAAAACACATGGGATTTGCAACATGTCTTGAAATTATGTGGAGAACCTCGGTGCACAGCATACGGTGGCAAGTTCAAAATGCAACACTGAGTTCAACAATCTCATCATAATCTAAATGTCTCTTGCCGATGCTGCTTCACGGCGGTGCCGAAGCCTCATGATTTAACTCTTGCACAGCCCATTATCCGAGAGAGGGGGCCGGCGGCAGGGGGCGAAGCCCATAGGGATATTAAAGTTCCCCCCCCGACAATCTGAACCTGAAGTTCAGGATCTGCAAACTCGCGCTACGAGCCGCCAAAACTGAGCATTAATTTCCCCAGCGCCCTAAGCACATGAAAATTCATGTTCACCTTGCTAATTGAGCAGACCGTTTCTCACCTCCCCTAGCACAACTAGGAATTATATGTATGCTAACTCACGCTAGGAACCGTCAACGATGAATCTATCTCCTCTCCCATCGGTCAAATATTTCTGGGGGGCGGGGGACACATATTGTTTCGAGGGGGTGAAACATGAACGTTCGTGTTTGTGGAGTGGGGATATAAACTGTTAAGTGTGTTCTGTCAGGGTGGTGAAAACGTCACTAGTCTTCTTGGGCGTGGTGAAGACAAGAAGATTAATTTTTCAGGGGTTGAGAAATGACTGTTCAATTGTTCTGCGGGATGGGACTCTGAACCGTTCACTGTGCCAGGGGAGAGAGGAAATGAATATTCAATGTGGGGAGGTGGGACAACAAAGAAATATTCAATGTTGGGACGTGGAGAGCAAACCATGGAGAAATGAACCTGAAAACCCCGCTCCAAAGAACCACCCCTTGCAAAAGGTCTCCGACCCGATCGAGAAAACGGGCTGCGACATTCCACGTCCATGAAAAATGCGATCCTTTGGGTACTTCTTCTTCCCCATCGCGCGGTTGCCCTTCTTTTTTTTCATCTCGGCGTCGCTGGTGCTGCCCGAGCTGTCCTCGCTGGCGACAATGCGGGCGAGGCTAATGACGAGAGGGGGCGAGATTTCAACTTAGACCTGAGGGCCCCGCTGGAGACCCCTCGAAGCGCAATGAAACCTCACAGGGTTGATATACGTTGCTCCGAATCCCACCAGCCCTCTGCGCGTAGGCGGCCATGGATTCAAGACCGATGCTTTCTTCATCGGGGGGGCATGTGCTCCTTCCCATACGTCCAAACCGATCGGGGTCCGCTGGTCGTCAGAGAGTGCAAGACGGCCAGGAGAGCCACACATAGCCCAATATGGTGTCCAAACTGGCGCAAGATTGCTCAAGTCGACCCGCAATGAACTCCAGCGTGACTCCCATTGCTTTTCAAGACTGTTTGGCTTCTCGCAGTTCGGCTTCCCATGGGTGTCTCACGCCTCGAGCTGGCTCCGAGATGGCGGAAGAGAGTCCCAAGAGGGTCCCAGACTGATCGCAAGAGGACCCTAGAGGCCCTCCGAGCCCCACGTGGGCCCGAAGGTGAAATTCCTCTGGCTCTGATTGTGAAGGGTCGGGGTGGAGGGGAAGGGCAAATGAGAGGCCCCGATTGCTTTGTTGATGGTCTCCAGGGTGGCACAAGGGGGGCCCCAACGGCCCAATCCAGGCAAAAAACCCCAGGAGGGCCCGAAAGGCCTCAAGAGCGGGCCTCAAGACGGCTTTCAAGCAGCACCCAGCGCTGGAGGGCTGCTCGGGCTCTGGCCGTCAGATTTGGCTCGAATACCCGACTTCGTGTTGCTAGTACTTCTGCACTTTCCACCTCGCAACACATCGACTGGACATCATTTATGCATGGACTGCTTTGTCGAGCTTATCCGCTCGATACCCACCAACGCTGTAGCACAAGAGAACGTCGTTTGGATGAGGAGAACGAGAGAGATGAGGTCCCGGGTAAGGCCAACCTAAGAGGAATCACCCCGTCGAGGACGAGCCTAAGACAAGAAGTGAATAATGAAGGCAACCAGAGTAACCAGGACTACGCCGCGCCAACCACGAGGCCAAGTCAATACCGCTTTCTAAATTTATGAATATGCATCACGCCTTGGGCCACACCGGCCGCCTGAACTCATTCGAAGTCAACCTATTCCGACACCATGACATACATGACTCTCTCGGCAGGGGCGACCGCCACATCTGAGATGACCGAACGCCACGTTCAACTGACTGCATCCGCCCTTGCCCCCCGTAGCATTACTGCAATCGTAAATGGTCAAGGCTATGGTCCAGCGCTTGCTCGTATTGCGGATGGCTCGGTGCTTGCATCGCCTATCAATCACTGGCCCCACTGCGCTCTCAATCCTGGCCTTCTTGCGCCGGCAACTCCTGCCTCTCAACGCATGTCGCTCAATTGCTCGGGCGAGAAGCCGGTTCCTCATCGCTTGTGGATGGGGGCGTGGGGGGCGTCTGCTTGCAGCCGTGGATGTAGGACATCAGCTGGGGCGGCGCAAGGGCGAGCACAGCACCGACGCTCGATGATCGAAGAGTGGCGCGAGGGCAGGCGAACAACACTGTCCACATCACGTGGCCGACGCTCTGGAGGAGCGCGCGTGTGCACACACCGCAGCACTGCTGCAAGGCGCTGGCCGCCACGCCCTCGAGGCGGGAGAAGGGGCGCGGCCGGGACAAGACAGGAGAGCAGCCCTCAAGAACACGAGACCCTCCGCCGGCCCAACTGAAAAAAACATTCGAGGGTACCCCCCCCAGGGTGCACACGGACATCCAAACAACACACGAACAACATGAGGACACCCTCCCTGAATCGGGAGCCGTGTGGCGTGGTGCAAGCTATGTGAAGTGAGCGGTGTGGCGCCCATGAGGCGCCACCAACCGCCCACCAGGCGAAACCTCGCCACGCCCGCCAGGCGCACGGGGAGCCCAGGAGGGGAGCACGGCTGCACGCCAGACGAAGCCTCGCCACACCCGCCCCCTGCACGTGGCGCCTACGAGGCGCCCGCGCCCGCCGACCAGGCGAAACCTCGACCCACCCAACTCCTTAGGTAGCCTATGTGTTTTTCCTTCGGGAACCTGCGCAATAATTCCTGGCAGGCACTGGTTTGGGAACGCTGACGTGCGTAAACTGTGTAGGTCCGCCCGCACCCCTCAACACTTATGTTGTGTGCCGCTTCTTCCTCAACAGCGCCAGGCTGGTCCGAGCGAGACTGCCGTCCACCATCCGAAAGACTTTTCCCCTGACGTGGCCTCGCATGTGCTCCGAATCCAGATCCTGCCTTGAAAATAACCTCATTACCCCCCCGCTTCGTCGTCGTCATCTTCGTCGACCTCGTCGTCCGCCGTCCTCTTCCTCCTCCTCGTCCTTTTCGTCCTTCTCGTCGTCCGCCCACCTCCTCGTCCCCCCCCCAGCCCCCTTGCCCCCCCCCCCCCCCCCTTGGGTGCGGAAACCGCATCCGCATCACCAGTTTCGCGGGCCGGGGGCCCTTGCGCGGCGACCGTCTACGGATACGGAGCCTTTTTTCTTCCGCGGATGCACCGCGCGGAACGCATCGGTCTGGCCGCGCATCTACGGGATCGCCCCATGGAGCCGAAGAAAAAAGTAACAGCATAAGCGTGAAGTTGCGGAAATCCGCGCGGATGTCTTGGATCAGCGGCTATCTTGGCGAAGAGGAAAGTTTGCTGGTCGGGGCTTGCGACGAGGGGGCCTGGGACCGTAGGGTGTATTCCAGCATCGTTAGCGCATCCCGCGCCAGGGACGGCGCAGGACGCGTAGCGGGGGGGCCCGGTGCCGCTCCCAGAAATCCCCGCGGATCCGAAAAGCTCCTCCATCAGCCCAAACACCTGGGGTGTCGTACTTCTTTCTCAAAGCACTGGGTTCGCGTGCAGCCCCGGCTGGCTTGTCGCCGCCCCGTCGCCGCCCCGACGCGGCCCGTCGCCGCCTGTCGCCGCCTCCTCGCAAGCTCGTGCGTCGCCCTGGTCGGCTCGTGGTCGCCCCGTCGCCGCCCCGTCGCCGCCCCGTCGCCACCCGTCGCAACCTCGTCGCCGCCCGTCGCCGCCACCTCGTCGCCGCATTGCATTGTAACCGCACTGCGCTGCGCTTCGTTCGCGTTGCACCCTGATCGCGCTGCGTTGCGACCACGTTGTAATCGAAATGCATTGCCACTGTGTCGGTACCGAACAATTCAATCGCATTGCATTGCATTGCAATCGCATTGCGTCCACGTTCATTGCTCTGTATAACGCGGCGTCGCCCGCACCGAATATTATTCCACAGCGTAGCTTGCACCCATTAGATTGCACTTTGTCGCCTACGCCGCATAGATCGCACCACATGGATTGCAGCGCATATTTTGCACTACGTAGTTCGCGCCCCATGGATCGGACAACCTGCGTTGCGCCATGTAGCTTGCGCCGCGTTGTTCACACCGCCTAAATGAACACGTGGGCTCCACGTTCGCGCTACATTTGTTGCGCCGAATAGATCACGCCTATAGATTGCACTACGCACGCTGCACCACCTGCATCGCACTGCACAGCTCACATCGCATATATCGCACCACATGGAATGCACCGCATATGTTGCACTACAGAGCTCACGCGCACACACTCACACACACACACGCGTCGTATATATATATATATATATATATACATATATTGTACCACGTAGATTGGGTCACCCAACTTACTTTCACCGCGCAGCTTGCACCGCAGCGCTCGCACCGCAGAGCTTGCACCATATAGCTTGCGCCACGTGGATTGCACCGCATAGCATGCTAAAAACCACCGTTCGGGGTCAACGCTGTCTAACATGAACGATGGTCGGTTACCTCATCGTATTTGGCTTTGGAACGGCGCGCGTCAAAACAAGGCACGTCGCCAGGACGAATATAGGATTGAGGCGGGAACGAGACGAGGGCCCTGCAGATGTCGGAAAGGGCGCGGCTTCGAGTGCACCCTGGCGTACGCCAGCGGCGAGCAAGGTTTCGTCAACGCGCAACCCACAAGGGCGCCCACTGACACGCGTCAGCCAGGAAAAATCAGGAGCGTCAGGGGCGTCAGAGAGCCAGGAGTGTCAGGAGGGTCAACAATGTCAGAGTGTCAGCACTGACCGCCTTTCATGAAATTGCCACCTCTCATGGATCGGGGACGCGCTGCGCGGTGCACCACCTCTCTTTAACTAGCAAGAGGTGAGCGCAACGCCCCCCGACATTACGAGGCGGTGGCGCGTTGATCCGTCGCAAAAATCGCCCTGGTTCGCACCGTGGCACGCCTCGCCCTGTTTTGCGCACGTCGTCTCCTCCTCGACCTTGCGGCTCACAGTGGCCGCCGCGAGATCTGCGGCAGTCGCCTACACGGATTGGAACATGGCCACGACCTCGCACACCTCCCCCGTGGCGTCGCACTCGCACACTCACGGCGCGCCCAACAGCAGGGCGAGAAGCACTGCGAGGCGCGCCGCCAGAGCCCTCGGGAGGCCAGGGTGCGCGGCCGGGGCGCGTTGGCAGCGGGCAGAAGCTGCTTCAACAAATGGCGCGGCTGGAGCCACAGGCCAATGTGTATGCAATGGTCTGTCTCTCGAGGGGGCGGGCCCCAGAATCCAGACCGCGAGGGCGTGGACATGTCAGGAAGCAACTCCAGGGAGTCTCTGCAAGAACAAGCACATGCTACTAAATCTGATGGGGGCCGACAAGTAGGACCATGCCCAGTATGAAACCCAATCAAGCCCGATTCGGTGGGCCTCCTCGGAATTCAACGGGACTACGCTGGATCAGGCTGGTTTTCGTCGACGGACATAACACCACCGATGCAGAATTGAACCTCCCAGGATTTGCATCCTAAGGTTACGGATGCGGTCGGGGAACGTTTGGATAACATGTCGCGGCGGCGGCCCCAGCGACACGCTTTGTCTGGCGAGTTGATCGTGTGTTGCTCCGTTCCGCAGGGCGTGAGGCTGGGAAACACTCGGGGCGTTGACGCTTGGAGGCCGGGAATTAAATAGCGTGTCGCACCGGAGCGTGATGGGCTAGAACCAGCAGGGCGATACGCTAACCAAACGATTCTGACCTGGACAACGCCGATGCTTAATTTAACCTCCCAAGAGTTGCATCCAAAGTTTCTGGCACGCCCGAACAGAGCAAATGGGTACGATGCCCAACAGCACATGTTGACCAGCATCGATAGCAGCTGCTGTTGGGCAGACGACTTTTTGCCTTACATGGAAAAACCCGCGGAGACACCGACAGCGAATCTGGTTCAAATGAACAAACAAGGCTGCCAATATTTGTACCCAGTCTTTCCGTACCATCTTCGAGCGTCCCGATCTAAGGCTGGATAAACTTGCCGATGCCTCGGCGATGCGGCGCGATCCTCCGACTTTTTCTTGGATCCCTACATGGATCCAAACTCCCAGGAACTGCAACCTATGGCTGTGCATGCCTTCGCCGATGCCTCGGCGATGCGGCGCTATCCTCCGACCTTTTCTGGAGGGTCTGCGCGAATTGACACCCCCAGGAGCTGCACCCTAAAACTGTGGATGCATTCGCCGATGCCTCGGAAATGGGGCGCGATCATCTCACCCTCTCTTGGAGACCCACGTGAATTCAACCACCCAGGAGCTGCACCCTAAGGCTGCGGTAGAACAAGAAAAGCGGCATAAGCATTAACTTTGGGCGCTCCGCGCGGAATTCTTGGATCCGCCATGGGGGCCCAGCGGAGCGCCAACAGTGTATGATTATGTGGTGGTTCCTTCTTCGAGCGCCTCGAGGCTGTGGATACTTTCGTCGGGCCCCCCCGTCACTTTCGCTGGCCACTCTCGCTGGCCACTCCTCGGCCCATCCTTGGCCACTTTCGTTGGCCGCACCCCGCTCGAAAAACTTCGGCATGGCCCTCCAAGGCCCTTGCATTCATATCATGCGTCCGTATGATTCGGTCGGGCATGTCCTCCGACAGGCGGATGATGGACAAAGAATAAGCAATAGACAAACAATGCCGCAACGGAGCCCCCCCCCCAAACAAAAATGTCCCCAGACTATGTTTGGACTGTTGATCAACATTCCTGTTGTAGTGAGGCACGCCCGACTTAACCTTATGATGCGGGTCGACTGTGCTCCGAGCTTCTTAGTGAGCGTCGGGGGGGCGTCACCCCCGCCGACAGCCCCACATCGACCCCCGCCGCGGGCAGCCACCAAGGCGCTCCGACGCCCGTCGCGGCGCGACGACGACGCGAGGCTGACCCCCGTCGGGGGGCTACCCCCGCACGCTCATTAGGAAACCCAGAATACATCCTGACGGCACGAGGAGGGGGAGGAGGAGGAGGAGGAGGAGGAGGAGGGGGAGGAGGAGGAGGAGGAGGAGGAGGAGGAGGAGGAGGAGGGGGAGGAGAAGGGGGAGGAGGAGGAGAGGTAGAAGGAGAAGGAGGAGG